TTGTGCATTAGCATATCCTTGTTCAGCAGCTTTTTGATACCATTCGACTGCCTTTTGTTCATTCTTTTCTATTCCAGTTCCATTTTCATAACAAAAACCAAGGTTATATTGTGCAGCAACATTTTCCTGTCTAGCAGCTTTTTGATACCACTCAACTGCCTTTTCTTCATCTTTTTCTAAGCCAGTTCCATTTGCATAACATGCACCAAGATTATATTGTGCAGCAACATTTCCTTGGTCAGCTGCTATTTGGCAGAATAAAAAATCAGAGCCAATCCTAGCATGACCTGACATCTTCCATTTGACACGAATATCTTCAATTCTTTCCCTTAATTTGCAGGACAGTCAGCATATTAATATTATAATAAAAAAATTTTTTATGTAAAGAAAAACTTACGGAAATTTATGCCATTCAATTTCGAGAGAAAATCCATAAATACTGGCAAAATATTGTGTTACAGCTACATTGATTCTTTCACCTTTGCAGTAGACTTCCCCATCAACTGTATATTCATCACTCAGCAAGGGTTGAATGAACTTGACTTGGCAAAGATCAGCACAATGACAATCTATCAGTGATTCTCCAGTAATCAATATTTCCATCTTGTCACTGAATAACATTTCAATTTTGGCAATTAGAGATTCATCTAGCAATTTATAAGTTGGGAGAAAGCTAGCTCTTTCAATTATAGTCCATTGGCTAGATTCTCTCTGATTTTTTTCTAACCATTCGCCTATTTTCCTATTCACATATTAAGTACAAATTAAATTTTTGCAAGACAAATAATTTGCAAGCTCTCAGTAATATTCTTACTCGACTTTTATTAGGGAACTGTCAACAGAACGTAAGTAGTTGCTCTTGAAAGGATGTATTCTCTTTGACCATTCGGCGTAAATTCCATCATATAGACCATTTTCACAATCTTTAGTATTAAATAGTAAACTCTAAAATTAGTGCTTTCGGGAGTTGTTGATTCCAGCTCAATTAAATACTTACCCAAGCTCTCAACACCTATCCATTCTGTTTGAAATAATTCAACATCTTTGTAATCGTCTTCGTTTTTGAGTGTGGAAGTCTGAAATTGAGTAAAGCGTTGCAACCTGTTGCCCACTTTAATTTTGCGATTCATCCAATATCCGTACTCAGAGAATACATTATTCAATGCTCTTTGCGGTTGATCATGCTTAATCGCTTTCTCAATGGCTTCAACGAATTCATCGGTTGGTTTAAGATCTTCTCTTGTAAGATTGAAGTTCCATAATTCTTTGTTTATTCGGAAAATGACTGCCCTATCGGGCGTCTCATCATACAAAGGGTTGTTTTCTTTAAAACAAGAAATTGGTTTCGGAGGACTAAAGAGAGAGCCCTCTTTATCAAGTGCGAGGCTGTTTGCGTATATATAGGTGTCTTGTATTTTGTGAATGTTTACAAGCTGAACAAAGGGTCTTGTCTTTGGAGATTCTTTGATGGACCAATTTACTTGAAGTGCACACTTATGCGCAGGACGCACGCCGTATTGATCAAACAGTAAACCGTGGCCTAACCTGAAATCCTCGATAATGCTACTCAGAGTGTCCATTTCCGTGAAGAATGAGTTGAAAATTCTGATCGGCAAGAGCTCATTGAATATAGTAATGTGACACTACCCCTTACTGAACAATATAATTTTCAATCATATAACCATATACGGTAGTTCGCATGTTGCTTACGATAAGCTTGTTACTTGTGTTACTTTGTTATGATTAAGGTTTGATACTTTTATAATCAATAGTGTAAGACTTTATTTCCAAATGATACTTTTATAATCAGAGCATGTCAATAACGCCCAGCAAATTCGACAAAAGTACTGCAGACCAAAATTCACCATGTGTAAATGTCGCGATGCTGAAGCCATGACTTTTCATTGGTTGATCAAAATTTATTCTTTAATCCCATTGTTTAGTTTCAGCATCAGCCGGATTTCACCCAACAATCCTGGGTCGTACTAGTACGTAATCAAAGTAGCATGACATTGATTGTGCAACATCATTAATAACTCCCGAGTCTGATATTACTCAGCGAACGATAGCCATCATGGACATTAGACCAGCTTCATGAATTGCGCTAGACTTTTGGAAGGAAGGTGAGAAAGCAGCTTATGTCCATTCGCTCAAATGAACTGTTAAAATGTCGAACTGCTTGCACAAGTTATCGGGCTCGTACAAGTGCATCACGTGACTTATCGAAAGATATTAAGGGGTTCCCCACTAACGCTAACTTATTTGAGAAGACTAGATGGACATGATATTTAATATTAATAGGTCGAGACTTGTTAATATAAACTTTCTCAATTGCCCATATTCAGAATGGCCGAGCACAAAGAGATTAGATACATCACTGACGCTCGAAAAAATTCGTGAGGTGCTCTTTCAATGTGTAAATGGCGAACGCATCATGAAGTTGGACATGTACTTTTGCAACAAAGGAGGCCCGAATATTATACCAAAGAGCGAAGAAGCAACTATTTATCTCCATCAGATACTAGGTGATAACAACGAACTCCGAATCAAGCGAAGTGAGAAGATTAAAGAAATAATACCTCGTTTGATTGAAGAGAAAAGGCTAAATTGTGGCATTCGGTGGACTAAAAATGGGCCAAAACAGTCTGATAATGTAGCATTCAAGTTTAACAGGCACGAATTTGGAACACATTGTTCTGAATATAGATGTCGATTTGAAAAAAGTAACAAAAATCTTTGTGAAAATGGCATTGAATGGAAACTTGATTTAAATATGTCATGGTAAGAATTTTTCTTGATGGATAACTTAATATTGACGCATAAACGTAATAATCAATTGATAATATTAGGTTATCATTCGCCGGCTCGATAGGCACACACTTTGCGCAAAACGGATCGAATGGAGTCGAACATAAATCATGTCGGATACTCGAAAGGTATAGTCAAAAGAAATTATTAATGGAAAGAGAACATATAAAACCTTCCGAGGAATTCAAGAGTGACGTAGAGCAGGCTTTAAAATTGGAAACTCAAGAGGAGAAGCGGGAAGCCCTGAATGAAGTTTGCAAGAAATATGGGCATTTTTGGGCGAGAGCAATGCAACTGGGAGGGCTGATTGTTAAAAACGAGGAAGAGTATAAAGAAACCAATATTCAATCAACTGGTGGAACTATGGGCATTAGTGCCACATCAGGAACTACACCAATGGAAATAGATGAACAAAAGGCAGTTGAATGGGATCAAAAAGCTGCTGAACAAGGACATGCAAATGCACAATATAATCTTGGTG